GAATCCATTTCAGAAAAAAAATTAAAAAATAAAAATCTGAGGAGGTGGTGGTTGCAGTGAGCCAAGATCGCACCATCGCACCCCAGCCTGGGTGACGAGTGAGACTCTGTCTCAGAAAATAAAATAAAATAAAATAAATAAATAAATAAATAAGTCGTGTACATATTAGGAAAATTGACAGCCTAAGAATCTTGTTTCGCCTTCCTGTAGCTGTTACTACTATCTGATTGGTAGTTTATTTATTTATTATTTATTTTTGAGACACTGTCTCTGCTGTTGCCCAGGTTGGAGTGTTGTGGCATGATCTCTGCTCACTGCAGCCTTGACCTCTTGGGCTCAGGTGATCCTTCTACCTCAGTCTCCCATGTAACTGAGACTACAGACATGCACCACCATATCTGGCTAATTGTTGATGTTTGTTTTGTAGAAACGAGTCTCACTCTTACCCAGGCTGGTCTCGAACTCCTGTGCTCAAGTGATCCAACCATCTCGACTTCCCAGCGTGCTGAGATCACAGGCATGCGTCACTGTCACTGTACTCCAATAACTTTAAATAATTTACAATTATTATTCCATTTTTTTTTTTTGAGTCAGAGTCTCGATCCATCACCCAGGCTGGAGTACAGTGGCATGATCTTGGCTCACTGCAACCTCCGCTTCCTGGGTTCAAGCAACTCTTGTACCTCAGCCTCCTGAGTAGCTGGGATTGCAGACATTTGCCACCGTGCCCGGCTAATTTTTGTATTTTTAGCAGAGACGGAGTTTCACCATCAGGCTGGTCTTGAACTCCTGACCTTGTGATCCCCCTGCCTTGGCCTTCCAAAGTGCTGGGATTACAGGTATGAGCCTAATGTTTATTTTTCAAAAATGCCAGGCTGGGCGCAATGTCTCACACTTGTAATCCCATCACTTTGGGAGGCTGAGGTGGGCTGATTGCTTGAGGCCAAGAGTTTGAGATTAGCCTGGGCCATATGAGATCCCATGTCTACCAAAATTTAGCTGGTGTGGTTGTGGGCACCTGTAGTCCCTGTTACTTGGGAGACTGATGTGGAAGGATCACTTGAGCCATGATGGCACCACTGCCCTCCAGCCTGGGTGACAGAGAAAGACCCTGCTTGAAAATGTATATAAATATATTTTTAATAGACTTTTTTTTTTTTTTTTTAGCAGAGACGGGGTTTCACCATGCTGGCCAGGCTGGTCTTGAACTCCTGACCTCAGGTGATCCACCCACCTCAGCCTCCCAAAGTGCAGGGATTACAGGTATGAGCCACCACACCTAGCCTTAATAGAGTATTTTTAAGAATAATTTTAGATTTACAGAAAAATTCAGCAGATAGTACAGAGAATTTCCATATATACCCCTCAGGCCTAGTTTCCTCCTGTTATTAACATCTTATATTCGTACAGTATGTTCGTTACAATTAATAAACCAATATTGATACATGTATTGTAACTAGAGACTATATATATATATATATAACCTGTTGCTCAGTCTGGAGTGCAGTGGTGGGGTCTCTGCTCACTGCAACCTGTGCCTCCTGGTTCAAGCAATTCTCCTGCCTCAGCCTTCTGAGTAGCTGGGACTACAGGTGTGTGCTACCATGCCCAGCTAATTTTTGTATTTTTAGTAGAGACGAGTTTTACCATATTGGCCAGGCTGGTCTTGAACTCCTGACTGTGTGATCCACCCGCCTCGGCCTCCCAAAGTGCTGGGATGATAGGCGTGAGCCACTGCGGCTGGCCCATACCATTTTTACCTCCTTTTTTTTTTTTTTTTTTTTCTGTTCTAGGATTCTACCTAAGATACAATATCACATGTAGTCTCCTTAGTCTTCTCTTAGCTTCCATAGTTTCTTAGACTTCCTTTGTTTTGATGACCCTGACAGTGTTGAGGAGACCTGTTTAGGCATTTTTTAGACTGCTCCTCTTTTGGTATTTGTGGCTTTACTTTATAAAAACTTTTGCATTGGAACCGAATCATTTTCTGAGTGCAAAATAAATAACAAACAAAAAAACAAAAAACTTTGAGGCCAGGCACGATGGCGGACACCTGTAATTCCAGGTGTCACTTTGGGAGGCCGAAGCGGGCGGATCACTTGAGGCCAGGAGTTTGAGACCAGCTTGGGCAACATGGTGAAACACCATGTCTACGAAAAATAACAAAAATTAGCCAGACGTAGTGGCGCATGCCTGAAATCCCAGCTACTCAGGAGGCTGAGGCAGGAGAATCGCTTGAATCTGGGAGGCGGAGGTTACGGTGAGCCGAGATCGTGCTACCGTGCTGCAACCTGGGCGACAGAGTAAGACTGTGTTTCAAAAGAACAAATCAAAAACACACACACGCACACAAAACCAATTTTGTTTATTGGAAGCTGACTCTAGGTCGGTCATTATGTGAGGCTTTGGGAATACAGTAGTGTATGAAGACTCTTCATAAATAGCACTTAGGAGTCATCGGCATTGACTCTGGGACTCTGGGGAAGCGGTGTGTGCTGGGGATGAGGTTTGAACCCCTGGAACCACTTCTAGAGCCCACACTCTTGACCACTGTGCTGTTTGCTGCTTCCTGTGGGGAAAGGAGGGCGTTCTTCAGGTTCACAGGCACATCTTGAAAAATCACGCAAAAAAAAAAAAAAAAATCATGCAGGCAAATTATGATCGGGAAGGTAGGACAGGCCTGCAGTACCTCACACCTGCAATCCCAGCACTTTAGAAGGCTCACACCTGCAATCCCAGCACTTTAGAAGGCTCACACCTGCAATCCCAGCACTTTAAAAGGCTCACACCTGCAATCCCAGCGCGTTAAAAGGCTCACACCTGCAATCCCAGCACGTTAAAAGGCTCAAACCTGCAATCCCGACACTTTTAGAGGCTGAGGCAGGTGTTTTACTTGAGCCCAGGAATTCAAGACCAACCTGGGCAACATGGTGAGACCCCATCTGTACAAATAATACAGTTAGCCAGGCGTGGTGGTATGTATCCGTCGTCCTGGCTACTGGGGAGGCTAGGTGGGAGGATCGCTTCAGCTCAGGAGTTTGTAGCTCAGGCTACAGTGAGCTCAGATTGCACCCTTGCACTTCAGCCTGGGTGACATAGTCATACTCTGTCTCTACATAGTCATACTCTGTCTCTAAAAAAAAAAGACAAAGGGAAAAAAAGGAAGTAGCTCAATAAGCAGAGTAAAGTTAGAAGTGAGCGGGAGTCGTTTCCAGTGAAGTGGATTAGGGAGGGTGAACTAAAGTAATCTTCCCCTTCATTTGTCTCCTGAGCGCTTCTCCTCTTCCTGCTAAGTGCTTCTGTGTGATTTACTCTGTTCTTAAGTGTCCTGAAAGAATGTTTTTGTACAATTCAACAATTCACGGTCCAAGATCAGAGTGGGCCAGTGATAGGTGTGTGTGCTTAAACCCATTTTTTTGTGGGGTGTTGTGGAATATAGCCAAAAAAACCCCCAAAACCCTATGTGGGTGGTCGTGGGGCAGAATGTGTGGTGCCAGAGTGGGGTCCAGGGGGTCTGTTTTCACAGTCTGTGGCAGCACCAAAGTCCTGTGAGCCTTTCTGAGCCTTGGTCATCTCCTCTATAATTAGCTGTTAAATAATTCTGCTGAGTAGCATCTTATACTTGGATGAGGTTCTGAAGTCCAGCCACACAAGGCCAAAGTCTGCTCGAGTGAGAATTACTTGTTAAGAACCTGCCAACTACTCGCCGAGGAGGCAACACAGTGCCCCATGGGAGATCGCCACGCAGCCTGGCAGTATGTCCAGTGCAGCCCATTTTTCTGCCACCATTTGGCCACTTGACTCCATCCTTGGTCAGACCCGATCAAGCATCTTCTTGTGTTTAGGGCCCAAGTTGCAAAAGACAACATTGACACGTCTCCACACACCAGGATTAGGGTACACGCCGCAAGATGACAAAGATGGAGTGTTGGCTCTGTGAAGGTGTCAGGTCTGGTGGTTGGTTTTGTTTTGTTTCCCTGAGTATGTAGTTAAATTTGTGAACATTAGAGGATCAGTAGTGTCACTGCCCAGCTGCCCCCCAGAGTGCTTGGTAGGAATTAAATGAGGTGCAGTAGCCTTCCCCTGTAATCCCAGCACTTTGGTAGGCTGAGGAGGGAGGATTCCTTGAGGCTGGGAGTTTGGGACAAGCTTGGGCAACGTGGCATATACCCTGTCTCCACAAAAAAATTTAAAAATTATGGACAGGCCTGGTAGCTCATGCCTATAATCCCAGCACTTTGGGAGGCTGAGGCTGGTGGTTCACTTGAGGCCAGGAGTTGAAGACCAGCCTGGCCAATGTGGCAAAACCCCATCTCTACTAAAACTACAAAAATTAGCCAGGTGTAATGGTGCAAACCTGCTGTCACAGCTACTCAGGAGGCTGAGGCAGGGAAATGGCTTGAACCCAGGAAATAGAAGTTGCTTGAGCTGAGATTGTACTGCTGCAGTCCAGCCTGGGCTACAGAGTAAGACTTTGTCTCAAAAAAAAAAAAAAAAAAAAAAAAAAAAAAAAAAAATCTAGCCAGGGAAGGTGCCGTGTGCCTGTGGTCTCAGCTATTCAGGAGACTGAGGCATGAGGATCACTTGAGCCAGGTGGTTGAGGATGTAGTAAGCTATGATTGTACCACCACACTCCAGCCACGGTGACAGAGCAAGACTCTGTCTCAAAAAAAAAAGGTGTGTGTGAGTCCCTGACGCTCTGGACCAGTGCTTGGTGTCATAAGTGTGATCATGGGTGATACATACGTGGAAGTCACAGGGAAGTATGTGATTTGCTTTGTTAGAAAAATTTGTAGAGGGCAGAGGGGGACAGTGTGTGTTTTGTGGGCCCCAGGGGACTTTAGTGACTTGGTTTCTATTGAATGGGTGGGTGGTGGTGGAGTCATGGGCAGACCTTGACTTTGTGGAGTGTGATCCTTGCTGGAATATGTCTACACTTCAGCCCCCTTCAGAGACCACTCATTCTCCCAGGCTAATGTGGATCCTTTGTTTGGCCACAGAATGTTCTGAAGGAGCACGCAGATGATGACCCTAGTCTGGCCATCACTGGGGTCCCTGTGGTGACTTGGCCAAAGAAGACTCCAAAGGTAAGACGCAGCCTGCTGCAGTGGGAGGCCGTGTCCCACTTCCTTCTCACCTCCTGTAGGGCAAATGTCAGCAGCTTTTTGGGTGGCTGTGGGACCTCCTGAGGTGAGGGCACCCCAGTTAAGGTGAAGGATTTTGGTGATTTGTTCTGTGTTTTGTTTTTAAAGGGGGATTGCTTTACCTAGGTGTGGGAACTGCGAACAGTGCCTCCTGGTGGTCACTTGGAGAACTGGGGGGTATTGACAGGCCCCTTTCCCGGTCGTTAGGCGGATTTTCTGTCTCTCCTTCCCTCACTCCCTTGCTGCTTCCCTTCCTTTTTCCTTTTCCTTTAGCTGCTTCATGGCTCTCGTCTCCTCTTTTGAAAGGAACTTTTTCTCTGTGTGTAAAACTGATTGATGCTCAACATAAAAATATCTAATCAGTTGGGCACGGTGGCTCGCACCATAACCTCAGCACTCTAGGAGGCCGAGGCGGGCAGATCACCTGAGGTCAGGAGTTCAAGACTAGCCTGGCCAACATGGCAAAACCCTGTCTCTATTAAAAATACAAAAATTGCCAGCATGGTGGTGTACGCATTTGGTCCCACCTACTCGGGAGGCTGAGACGGGAGAATTGTTTGAACGTGGGAAATGGAGGTTGCAGTGAGCAGAGATCGCACCACTACACTCCAGTCTGGGCTACAAAGTGAGACTCTGTCTCAAAAAAATAATAATAAAATATGATAAAAATGTCTAATCAAATGGGAAAGGACAGGACCCGAGGAAGAGGAATAATGGCTGTTATCGAGGATTTCTTAGGAGAAGTTGGCTGTTGTCTGGACCCCTACAGCTCTTATTTATACTTCAACAACTCTGTGGGGTAGACAGCTGTGACTCTTATTTTTCAGATGAGGAAACAGGTTTCAAAAGGCAAGTCACTTGTTAGGACAGCAATGTACACAAAGGTCAGTCACTTTGGCAGCAGAGACCAAATTTTTAACCAGGGCTCACCTCAAGGTACATGATCCAGAGAAAACAGCTGTGGTGAGCACGCTTCCAAAGGAGGCCCTGGGTGGGATACATATGCATCAGGTCCTCTCTCTGCCATCCATCTGCCTCCACGCAGCTTCAGCACTTCCTTGGACAAGTTACACAGCATCTTGAGCCTTACTGCCCTTGCTTATAAAAATGGATTATACCAAGACTTTCTTCAGTGGTTGTCAGGACTAAATGAGATAAGGCATGCAAAGCCCTTCAGACAAGGGCCGGCCCCAGGTTATCGCGTTCCAAATATTAGTTGTTACTTTGATAGCTCCAAGAGGTGGCTCACGCCTATAATCCCAGCACTTTGGAAGGCCAAGGTGGGTGGATCACCTGAAGTCAAGAGTTCGAGACCAGCTTGACCAACAAGGTGAAACCCTGTCTCTACTAAAAATACAAAAATTAGGCCGGGCGTGGTGGCTCACGCCTGTAATCCAAGTACTTTAGAGGCCAAGGCGGGCGGATCACCTGAGGTCAGGAGTTCAAGACCAGCCTGACCAACATGGTGAAACCCCGTCTTTATTTAAAAAAATAAATAAGAAGAAAAAAAATACAAAAATTAGCCAGGAGTGGTGGCAGATGCCTGTAATCCCAGCTACTCAAGAGGCTGAGGCAGGAGAATTGCTTGAACCCTGGAGGTGGAGGTTGCAGTGAGCTGAGATTGCGTCATTGCACTCCAAGCTGGGCAACAGAATGAGACTCTGTCTCAAAAAACAAACAAACAAAACACTGAAGCCAGGCAGGGTGGCTTATGCCTGTTGTTCCAGCTATTCCAGAAGCAGAGGTGGGAGGATCACCTGAGATCAGGAGTTCAAGGTCAACCTGGGCAACATAATGAGACCTCATCCCTACCAAAAAACAAAACAAAACAAAAAAACCTAGACATGATAGTGCATGCCTGTAGTCCCAGCTATTTGGGAGGCTTACGCAAGAGGAGTGCTTGAGCCCAGGAGCTTGAGGCTGCAATGAGCTGTCATCGCACCTCTGAACTCCAGTCTGGGTTACAGAGTGAAGCCCTGTCTCAAAAAAAAGGAAAAAGAAAGAAAAAAGTATCTGTAGCAGATTTCACTGATTACAGGCCGGAATGGTGACCCTCACCTGTAATCCCAGCACTTTGGGAGGCCAAAGTGTGCAGATTACCTGAGGTCAGGAGTTTGAGATCAGCCTGGCCAACATGGCGAAACCCCGTCTCTACGAAAACTACAAAGATTAGCTGGGTGTGCTGGCACGTGCCTGTAATCCCAGCTATTCTGGAGGCTGAGGCAAGAAAATCGCTTGAACCTGGGAGGTGGAGGTTGCAGTGAACTGAGATCCTGCCACGGCACTACAGCCTGGGGGAAGCACTGTATTTTTATTTGCTAAATCTGGCAACCCTAGTTGAAATGATTATATTTTTGATATATTGTTGAAACAAAATGGGTTATTCAGGTTAATTTTATTGTTTCTTTTTACCTTTTTAGATGTGGCAACAAAAAAACTCAAAAGTACATATGTAGCCTACCTTCTGTTTCTTTTATTTATTTTTTTAAGATAGAGTCTAAAGAGCTCCCAGGCAGGAGTGTAGTGGGGCAATCATAGCTCACTGCAACCTCTGCCTCCCTGGATCAAGCGATCCTCCCCCCTCAGCGCCCCCCCCAACCCGAGTAGCAGGGACCACAGGCACGTGCCATCATGCTCGGCTACTTTTTCATATTTTTGGTAGAGATGAGGTTTTGTTGCTGGAGCTCAAGCAAGCTGCCTGCCTCAATCTCCCAAAGTGTTGCGATTACAGGCTTGAGCCACCATGCCTGGCTTCTGTTATTGCTATTGGGCAGTGCTCTTCTGCATGATTGTTTATCTTCTTCAAGTGTATTTCTTTCCTTCTTTCTTTTTCGACAGCAAAAACATTCTCTAAACCGTTTATTTCTCCCCACCAGAAGGTGGAGAGGTGGATGGGCCTAGAACATAGCGTGCGGTGGGTTCCCGGGTTGGGTCAGTGCAGACAGCGTGGCGTGGGGCGCCGCAGCTCTTAGGCGAAGGTGGGGTTGTTCCAGCCCTCGTTGGCTGCCTTCGTGTCTTAGTAGTGGATGTAGACCCTGTCCGGGCTGATGCGCAGGCGCTCGGCCAGCAGGCGGCCAGCAGGTTGCTGTAGGAGCAGCTCTGCGCGAGGCTGTGCAGGCTGCAGAGCGCGCACGGCTTGCTGGAGCCGCAGAAGGCCCTGAGCTGGTCCGGGACCACGTGCACCGTGATGTACTGGGCGGCTTGCCGGTGGCCTTTGCCAGCTGTTGGGTGAGCTTGGAGAGGAACCCGGCCGACACGGAGGCGCGGGGGCACGTTGGTGTTTACAATGAACATCGACATGATAGCAGAGGGACCAGGAGACCCACGCAGAGACACAGATGTAAGCGCTGCCTCCGCCAGGTGTATTTCTTTTTCTTTTTCTGAGACAGAGTGTTACTCTTGTCATCCAGGATGTAGTACAGTGGTGCGATCTTGGCTCACTGCAACCTCCGCCTCGGGAGTTCAAGTGATTCTCTTGCCTCAGCCTCCTGAATAGCTGAGATTACAGATGCCCAGCACCACGCCCAGCTAATTTTTGTATTTTTCATAGAGATGGGGTTTCACCATGTTGGCCAGGCTGATCTCCAACTCCTGACCTTAGGTGATCCTCCTGCCTCAGCCTCCCAAGGTGCTGGGATTACAAGTGTGAGCCACCGTGATGGGCCCTTCGGGCGTATTTCTAAACGTTGAATTGCTGCAGAGAAGGGCATCCATTACCATGTGCCTCAGATTCTCTTTCAGTCTTAATGGGAACTTGGGTGGCCAGAGGAGTGAGGACGGAATCTTCTCCCTGTCTTCTACCTTTCCTTCCCTAGTCCGTAGAAGTGTGTGAAGTTTTAAAAATTCTTTTTCTTTTTGAGACAGTCTCACACTGTCACCCAGGCTGTAGTGCAGTGGTGCGATCTCCGCTCACTGCAATCTCCTCCTCCTGGGTGCAAGCAATTCTCCTGCCTCAGCCTCCCGAATAGCTGGAACTACAGGCATGCATCACCATGCCCAGCTAATTTTTTTTTGTACTTTCAGTAGAGACGAGGTTTCACCATGTTGGCCAGGATGGTCTCAATCTCCTGACCTCATGGTCTGCCTGCCTTGGCCTCTCAAAGTGCTGGGATTACAGGCATGAGCCAGCGCGCCTGGCCCATGTGTGAGGTTTTAAAGATGGCTTTCCCCTGCACGTACAGTAAGTACAAGTTTTGTTTATGAGACCACAAACTATTCTCGCAGACATAGCTCCTGCAACAACCCAGCTAGCTCCCTGGACACACTGGGTCTAAAGAAGAAAGTAAGGCTTTCCCAACTGCCGGCTACCCTCTCAGCTGAGGAATTTCTCCCCAGGAGGCATTAGGGTTCCTAGAGCATGAACGAAATGACCTGGCCACACTACTCAGTTATCTCAAAATTCTTGGAGGGGTTCAATTTAGCCTCTCTGGGGAAGATCACATCAGGCCAACAAATATACCTTGTCTCCCAAGCCTGAGACCCCACCCCATAGCCAGGGAGGCTTATAGAGGCACCTTTTTTTTTTTTTTTTTTTTTTTTTGGCAGAATCTCGCTCTGTCACCAGGCTGGCGTGCAGTGGCACAATCTCAGCTCTTGAGATCTCAATCTCTTGACCTTGTGATCTGCCCGCCTCGGCTTCCCAAAGTGCTGGAATTATAGGCTTAAGCCACCATGCCCGGCCTGGCATCTTTTAAGAAAAAGTATTTTCTTGGCTGGGTGCAGTGGCTCACACCTGTAATCCTAGCACTTTTGGAGGGCAAGGTGGGTGGATCACAAGGTAAGGAGTTTGAGACCAGCCTGGCTAATATGGTGAAATCCCGTCTCTATTAAAAATACAAAAATTAGCCAGGCGGTGGTGGTGGGCGCCTGTAGTCCCAGCTACTCAGGAGGCTGAAGCAGGAGAATTGCTTGAACCCAGGAGGCGGAGGTTGCAGTGAGCCAAG